TTACCAAAGGCTTCATGCACTGCTGTCTTCTTTGCCGAAAAGCAGTGGCACTCGAAAANTATCTGAGCACGTCAATGAAGAGTGCAAAACCGGTACTGAGGCATTTCGCAGTCCTGCAGAAACAAGGCACTAATCTGCGCGGTTTATGCATCAGCGTGATGACCGTTCGAATAGTAAGGAGTCTTTATCTTGACTTTATGAACTTGCACTGCTCTTGGCTGAACACTTGCTAACTACGAAATTTCTCTGCATTGGCGGAAATTCTTTGGTATACTAGGGTATCGTGCTGAAAGCACAAGGAGAATGCTGTGGCAAAACATCTCGTCGTTTCGGAATTCAAATAAAATGACACGGAACTGCTACAACACGGAACTGTTTCCATATTGATTCATCGCTCGTAAAAGAAACTAATAACAGGGCCGATAATTCTGCAGTGCTGACGCTGTTTTCGATTTGTCGTATGCTAAACAGCCAAGTCAAAAATTATTACTTTCAATGGCGTAGAATTCCTCCTGGAGTAGTGGATTACATCGAAAAATTGTGACGCTGAGTGAATTTAATCGACTCGGTACTATGAGAAGACGACGCCTCGATTTCTGCTAGAGATCCTTTCCAAACATCTGCAGAAATGAGTTAAATCAGTGATAATTTTGCGATCGTTGTACAATTGCGGTGAGACTTCACCACACAAAATAAACAATGGCAAATTTTGTGTTTGTTTTATTGGGAAACGTCGAGAAACTGGCGGCGTCGTCATGGAAAAGCACCAATCCGGTGAAGTGCCCCGAAATCTTGTTAATCGAGAAGTTCGCCGCATAAACGTGAAAAATTGACTTTAACTAGCCATAAAGTTTTATGTTTTATGTGCTTACTGAACCCATTTTGCAATATACCAGCGGTTTAAAAGCCAGGATGCTGTGGAATACCATAAATTCATAGCTCATTTAGGCGCTTCTTCTCACAGCTCGGAAAAAGTTGCGCACCAGGAATATGGACTCATTCATGGGAGAATAAGGAATATAGATAGACTTGCAGTTACCTGCTTGCGTGGAGGAAATGCATGGCCGTGAATGGGAAGAACGCAATTATGAGTGTGGACCACCGCTACTAAGACATAGCCATTAGTGGTAATGTTCATCAACCGTTCGACAAAACGCTAAGGGTTTTTCATTAACTAAAGCTGTTGACGAAACAAATTAGTAAGCACATAAATTTGGCGGTTTTGCATTCTTCCTCACCGCTGAAGGATGTATTTAAGTAGCACAATAAAATAGCGCCCTTCGTTGGGATCCATTTAGCAGGAGTATCCATCAACGCTTAGAAGAGGTCAATCAGTCACAGCCTTCCTTGACAAACAAATTGAGTTGGGTGCGATAAAATATTGGTTTATCTCTGGATGCAATACGATAAGAGCATCATATGTTATTGAAAGTACATACGATCACAAGCAGGATAGCTCGAGGTATTTTGTGTGGCTCTACCATCTTGCTATAATTTCCGAGGTGATTTGGACCACTCGCATGACTTCTAACTGAAGATTTAGTACTTTTTGGTCTTTTCCCCACTGTCAGTGATTCGTCTAATAACGACAGTATTATCTACGCTGTGGAAAAATGTGTTTTTATCACAAAGGCCGAAAAATTCGAAACGTCTCACTGGAGTTGAGATGAAGCTTCACATTATTAGACCAAAGTGTAAAGCAATTCGCGAAAAACGCAAACGCTCCTCAGAACAATTTTCTACACCTTCCTTGTGGAGCGGTGAGTTCAACATCAGTTCTATGAACTGAGAGAGGTCAGTCATGGTGAGGCGAGAAAGTGTGGCTAGTGGATGTTCAACATAGCATTTTTTTAGGAAACAGCCCACAGAATTACACCTTAAGCACCGCTTTGACAACATGTCCTCCAGTGCTTCCACTCCTACGTTTAAAAACTGTATTGCCAAGAAGTGACTCGTTTCCTGCCAATATGTAAATCGTCCAAGGCCATTCTCCAATAGGAACTAATCCTTGTTTGTAATCGAAGGTAAATTTGCTAAATGAGAATCGTGCAAGGAATCGATGTACACCAGTGGTCAATCTTTGCTTCGAGTGCTTTGAACATTAAGTTTTTTAAGAAGCTTATTATCTTAGAAAATTATGGTGTTTAATACTGAGAGGTATAGTTATTTTTCTTGGATTCAACTGTTTTGTTTGTAGTTGTTGTTAGAGATTGGCAATAAGGCAAGCTGATGGCAGAAAAGCCTTCTGATAAATAGGATTCGGAAACTTTAATGTCTCCGGAAGCTCTTTTCGTTTATGCTTTGGGGTAGTGCACAGCAAATGACTTTTCGAAATGATTACCAGTCATAACCTTAGCAAAACGGACTCATACCGGTAAAACCTCCGAAAACGATAATATTTGACTTGTTAGGCTTATTAGAGCCACACAAAATACCTCGAGCTATCCTGCTTGCGATCGTATGCACTTTCAATAACATATGATGCTCCTAATGTATTGCATCTAGAGATAAATTAATAGGCATTTTATCGCACCAAAACAATTTGTTTGTCAAGGAAGACTCTGGTTGACTGACCTCCCTAAGCGTTGGTGGATACTCCTGCTAAATGAATCCCAACGAAGGGAGCTATTTTAATGTGTTACTTGAAGGCAACTTTCAGTCGTGAGGAAGTATACCGCCAAATTTATGTGCTTTCTGATTTGTCTCGTTTGCCGCTTTAGTTAACGCAAAATCGTTAGCGTTTTTTCGAACGGTTTATGAGAACTTTACCACTAATAGCTAAGTCTTAGTGGTCGTAGTCTAAACTCATAATTCCGCCCTTTCCGTGGTATTTCTCCATGTAAGTAAATAACTACAAGTATATCTATATTCCTTATTCTCCTATGAATGAGTCCATATTTCTGGTGCGCAACATTCTTCGAGCTGTCAGAAGAAGCGTGTAAATGAGCTATGAATTTATGGTGATCCACAGCATTGCGGCTTTTAAACGGTTTGTGTATGTGTAAAATAGGTTCAGTAAGCACATAAGAAGTGAACCTGAATTTTTCACGTTTGTGCAGTGAACTTGTCGATTAGCAAGATTTCAAGGCACTTCACCGGATTGGTGCCATTACACAACGACCAAAATGAGCTTAATCAGTATCGCTTCTGTACGTCTTCGTAAAAGAGAACTTCTCGTTGTTACTCAGGCATAAACAACAAAGCCTTCACAGCGTTTGACTTTGAAGAATTCTCTTTATTACTAGCCATTTATCTAAAGGACGCCGTTCTCACGAATTCCAAGTGGTTAGAGCAGGGTACAGTGCATTCACCCACATGCATTACGTAAAATGTGTTACCTGATTTTGGTGATGTGAGAGTAATCTGCACTATTAGTTGATTACCTGGAATGCCTTACAAGTTTTTTTTATTCAGTGGAGGCGTCTCTCACTAGTTTGAAATTTGCTGCTGAAAACGTTTCATGCCGAGAAATCTGTTTCGGGTTTCTCAATCGATGTCCATTCCCATAGCTTTTCCTTTAAGAAATGAGTTAAAAAGCCGGACATCTTGTCTTTCTGCAACTTTTAGTCACTGGAAGGCTAATATCTTAGAAAAACGCACAACGTACAAAAAATCGAATCGCTGTCTATGCTGCTGGATAATAGAATGCCAACTGGATATCCAATCACAAAAAGAGCATTTAGATTTTCTTCGTATTTTTGTTGAGCAAACGCGAGGTGTTACTATTCCTTGCTCACGATTAAGCTGACGTTTCGGCGGACTTCGCTTTCCTCAGAGCCTGGAAAGGTCAAGTTGATAGCAACTCACTCGGCCAGACGCCTCCATAACCAAACAAAGAAACTCCAAACCAAGATTTCAATTACTTTGAACACAGCTTTGCACACTCACCGCTTTCTATGAGGTTTCCACTAAGTATGTCATGTAGAGACCAACCGCACAGAAATCATGTGGAAGTATAATGTGCCCCTCACATCAGAAAAGCAGTTTTATATACTGCCCTATATCACGCGTGATAATGAGGCATTCTTCCCTGCGGTTCATTTTCGGATTTCTGGAATTAATCCAGAGTGTCTCGAGAGTTTTTCGCGCCTGTGTTCTTGATTCGCGTGCGAGGATCGTGACACATACTTCGAAGTCGTCCCCGTTATGTCTCTGGGTCCTATGCGTGCCTAGCGGGGTATTTAGTCTATTTTTGCCGGCTAGGTGTTCTTTCATGCCGACACAGAGGGGTCTACCCGTTTCGCCAATGCATTCGTCACCACACGTCTTACAGGAGATCAGATAAACTATACCCGAGCTCATGCAGTCACCGTNGCAGTCACCGTCTCTACCACTGAGGCAAATTATGCAATTTTGAGTTGCACATAGACGGTCATATAGGCGGTTACGAACTAGCTGGCGCTTAAGATTACTCGGTGGTATTTCAACTACGCTCAACGAATTCTCTAAGCCCGCCCTTCTTAAGCAGCGTTTTATAGCAGTACTTATACCATTTGAGATGAAGGATAGGATGAACGGGACCCTTCTATCGCTAGAGTTGTCGTTTGGAGGCCTACGATTTTCTCTACACCTATTCCGAGCTACAGTTTCGTAGCCATTAGAAACGGCTATTTGCCGTGCCAAGTTCCGGGACTCCTCTCTCTGCTCTCTTCCCGTGCACACGTTGGTTGCTGTTCGAAACATGTTTCTTATAAGCGCCCTTTTCGTGTGAGAGGGGTGAGAGGAGAGGTAATGAACCAAGATATTTATACTACTTGTAATCCCTCGCGTTTGCTCAACAAAAATACGAAGAAAATCACTTGATCAATGCCGAGGTTAATAGAAAGTCGGTCGTGGCAGTTACTGCAAGATGTACCAGCAAGATACTTCCGACTTGTAAAAGAAGCGCTGTCACTGAGACAAAAGATCGTCTTAGCTCGACAGTCAATGCACTTTCTCCGCCGCTGTCTAAAACATAAAGTCGTTCCGAACTTCATCAAACGAAGACGACTACACGACGTATGCGGTCTACCAGAGGACAGTCACCAAGTATTGGACGTCGAATTGCGAATACTACGCACTTGTCTACGAAGCCGACAAAACCAGATGTTCGCCAAGTGGAAGAAGTGCGAGACGAAGGAAAACTTTTGTGCTCAATATTTGGAGGACCACCTCTGGAGGAGAATAGTGGGCGGGTCAGTGTTGATTTGCAACTCTATTAGGTCTAATGCTAAAGCAGCTTTGCGAAGAAAATTCGAAGACCTTTTGAGTAAATCGTATTACACAGCTTCAATAGCGCAGAAAAATATCGCTAAAGAACATCAAACACGAATGGGCCAAAATGGCAAGGGCTGCTGGTTTGAAACCATCAGTTATCTCTCAACTTAAAGTTGCCTTACCAACATGCCCCGTCTTGTACTTACTTATAAAAACTCATAAGTTAGTATCCAGCGGTGATCTTGCCTCTAACGATCCATCACTATTTAAGGTTAGACCTAGCTGTGTAGACGGTCCAACGGACAGGATAACATGGTTTTTAACCCTAATATTTAACCAGTTGTTGAAACACATTCCAGCCCATCTTACGAATACACAGATGTTTCTGGATCGTCTACGTACTGCGTAGCCCAACAGCGCGTGCGTGATGGACTCCTTCGACGTTACCGCCCTTTATACAAACGTGTCGAATGACTCCGCAATGCAAGCCATATTCGAACTCCTTACACAACACGAAGGAAATAAACATGTATGGCATCAGGATAGAGCACCTGATGGCACTCTTAAAAGAATGCTTGAGCTGCTCAATCTTCAGATGGTCTAGAAAGTACTACGCTCAAATAAGAGGGTTGGCAATGGGACAACGACTGGCTCCAAGCCTTGCCATTGCATTTATGTCTAAGGTGGAAGCACCGGTGACTGATCTCGGGCCGCTACTCTACTGTAGGTATGTAGACGACTGCTTTGTCCTTTGCTCAACACAAGAGGAAATGGACAAATGCTTCGAATTGTTAAACGCACAGTCAGAGTATATCAAGTTCACCCGAGAAAAGCCGAAAGAAAAATGGCTTCCATTTTTGAACGTACAAATTCACCTATCAGAAAATGGCTACATTACAAAGTGGTACCGAAAGCCAAGTAGTAAAAATATCTTGGTTCATTACCTCTCCTCTCACCCCTCTCACACGAAAAGGGCGCTTATAAGAAACATGTTTCGAACAGCATCCAACGTGTGCACGGGAAAAGAGCAGAGAGAGCAGTCCCGGAACTTGGCACGGCAAATAGCCGTTTCTAATGGCTACGAAACTGTAGCTCAGAATAGGT